AGAAAATAAAACCGAGTAATCTAGTTTTATGATTAGTTTTGAATTTTCGGACAAACCAAACCGAATTTTGTGGCACTCATATTCAAAAGTCAAGATCTTAATACTGCCTAGCTAGCTATCTAAATGGCGGCGAATATATACAAAATTACAGATATATATTAGCCTGATTGATTTTACATATGTTTACAGAAGTTTATGTGTGAATAGCCAGAAATTGTATAGGTGTAACGCTGGAATTAGGCAAAAGGATTTCTAAAATCTTTTGGTTTATGTGAGGTTTCAAAATCTAAACAAGGAAACAAATATAACTCGCTTTACCACTTATAAAAACAAAATCAAAAGCGCAATATAGCACATTACGATGTGATGCAACTTGTGTACACTATAAGTTACAATCAAATTTTTGGTTAACAACCCTTTTTAAATTTGTGTTACGTAAATTGTAGAGAAGAAGCATATATGATATTTATAAGCATAAACCCTTCAATTTGTGTTACGTAAATTACCGTGAAGAAGCACAATAAGCAAAAACCATTTCTTTTCTTGACCCTAAATTTTGCTTGGTTTCCTTCTTAGTCTTTTGTGACTAGAATAATACAAGATATTAAAAATGTTGCAATGGACTAATTAATCCGGTCCTGGTCGGCTTTTAAGTTAACTTATCCTTAAAATGGTTAGACTTTTGATTTATAAAGTTTATGCCCGGTTAAGATCCCGTCTAGCAAATGGGATCAATCAGCAATTAACCTCCATCAAAAATCTCTACAAACTTCATAGCTCAATCTTCTTTCCAGGAAAAATTGCAAATACAATTTACTGTTGTCTATAATTTATTTTATATACGCAAAACCATTAATATTGGAAATGGAACCGAATAATAAAACGAAGACAAACTCTGGTTAAAACCTAAGCAAACAATTCTCGAAGTGATGATGCACCAAACGTACATGATGTGATCAACAATACGATTATCGAAAGACTTTTTTTTGCTTTGCAATCTCTTCTTCAATATTATGTAACACCTATAAATGTGTAAAAGTTTTTTTGTTTCATCATCATCAAAATTATTTTTGCGATTTCGTACATTTTTGTAAGCTAATTGTATATTATTTGCTCGTTAATTGTAAGCTAATTAGTTTAACATTAGACAAGACAAAAATTGTTCGTTAATCAGACGTTTTTCTTAAGAGAGATCGCTAAATTTATAGTATATTTTTTCGCAATGTCGCTTAATTTTTAGATATTTGAACAAATTTTAAAATTTTCATATTTATTTTACGTTTTTTTTTTCTCTTCAATATTCAATTTATACTTAAGCAAATTGTTGAAAATCAAAACCCCTAATTCTTCACTTTCCCGGTTTGTCACCACTTGCTCCAATCCTCTCTCCCTTTCTCCGGCGAAAATCCATCGCCGCGTTTCCGGTCACAGTCTACACTCATCGTCTGATTTCATAATCGAACCTTTGGCAGATAAGTGACTTGCTGCAACTTCACTGTTCCTAATTCAGAGTTGGGATTCTACAACACCCGAGAAAAGCGACAATGGCATCTTTTCCTCATCCCGGTTCCGTCACCGTCTGCGAGATCAACAGAGACTTGAGTAAGTAAAGCTTT